ACTAGGTTGAACTACATGAAATCATACTTTCTGACTGATTTGGTCTACTAATACCATATTTTCATAGGATTCAACCTAAGGGTTCCCAAATCCATTCACTTTCCACTATGCTGTCTCATTAAAGGATTTGCACTGGCTTTTGTTTTATACACACACACACACACACATAACACATATATAAAGCAATTATGGCATAATGGTAATAACTGTATTTAGTGGCAGGGTATATGGGTAATCCTTATATTATTCTTGCAACGTTTTTATAAGGTTAAAAATTTCAAAACAGCCCTGGCCGGTTTGGCTCAGCGGTTAGAGCGTTGGCCTGAGGTCAGGGAGAGACCCAGGTTCGGTTCCCGCTAGGGGCACATACCCCGGTTGCAGTTTGTCCCCGGCCCTGGTTGGGTTGTGCGGGTGGCAGCCACTCGGTGTGTCCCTTTCACGTCGATGTTTCTCTCTCTCTCCCTCTCTCTCCCTCCCACTCTATCTGAACGAAAAATGGAAAAATGTCCTCCGGTGAGGATAAAAAAAAAAAAAAATTTCAAAACAAAAAGTCGGGATGGGGGAGGAGGTGGATATGGGAAATTATGAAGAAACTCCTGAGAACACCTTTTGTAAAAGGTTGTTTGATTTACCTAAATAGCATTTCTGTACTGTCCAAATTCAATCACTTAACTTTATGAGGATAAACAATTTACAGCTAAATTTAATCCCATAGTACTTATGGGCTGACAAACTTTTTCTGTAAAGGACTAGATAGTAAATATTACACATTCTATGATCCACATACAAACTCTCATTTTATTTTATTTGCAACCCTTAAAAATATAAAATCCATTTTTTGCAAGAAGGCAGGCCAGTGCAAAAACAGGCCACGGGTCATGACTTGCCAACACCTGATTCAGATGGAATTCCACAGAGTTCTAGCTAAATAACAAAGTCATAGTCTGGAAAACAAGTCAGGAACTTTCCTTCTGGGATTATTTCAAAACTGTCTGATCTGGGTGCAGTACTGTCAGGACTCGGTCCAGGGAAGGGCTTCCTTAGGGAATGGTTCTTTGCAGTCTTCCTTTTGAACGCTGAAGCCCTCAAGGACACAGTCAGTATTCAATTAGTATTTCTAGCAGCATGACCACTGTCATGCAGCTTTGTCACACAGTGACCCCAGACCTTAAATGCTCAGAGGAGGGCTCCCATAATTTGAGCAGTAACCTCCCAAACTTCAACTGCACACATTTGGCAAAAGCAACGGAGGAAGAGAGCGAGGACTGTAGCAAAAACACATCCACTCCAATTCTGTCTGGCGTGTGCCCTCTCTTGTATGCTTGTTATTACTGTAAGTCGTACATGGAAGCATCGGAGTACTGTACGCACGGGGCGCCTACGCGAAGCCGTGTGCACGGCACTTCCCAGCGAAGCAGGAGCTCCAGGGTGCTCTGAAGGCTAGTCAGTTCCCGCCTTCTCTGCTGCCGGCAGGGGCCAGCCTTTTCTGTCTCCTGTCACCGCATTTCTAGGACAGGTCCACCACTCCCATGTGTCTCCATCGAGGTCTGGTGGTTCCACCGGAGGAAATGGATACCTATGTCCTCCACCGACCGCAGCTCCTGCCCTTTCATGCCCTCACTCTAACTGGGCTGTCTTCTCACCTGAGGAAGGACAACCAGGCCGGCGATGCTAACGTTTCTCCAAGACCACCAACCCAGCGAGACCCCGTGCTTACCCTCCGCACTGCCCTCCTCCTCGCTCTCTAGGTTCTCTGGCACCAATTCCATCCCACCACTACTCCCCAACCTCCTGTTTTTCTCTCCCATTAAAATCCCAACCCTAGACACAGGACACAGCAAAGCTCAGAAATCAGGCTTCGGCATTCAAGTCTTTCTTATCCGTAAACCTTAGCCAGGCTGGGTAACTCTCCGCGCCTCAGCTGCTGCCTGTGTGAACCAGGTGTGATAACAGTCCTCACAGGCCACAGGTAAGCTAGGAGCCAGGCTGGGAAGAAGAAAACCAGGCTCCAGCCCCCGAAGATGCCCTTTAGTTCGACGAGAACGATGCATTTTTTTTTCCAGGCTCATAAAAAACTTAGAAAACGTTTAGTGAACAAAGAGCCTGGTGGCCTTCCACAGTTGCAACCAACATTTAGAGCTGATCCGACTCAGATAAAGAGACGAGAGTCTGCTGAACAAAGGGAGCATTCACTGTGCCCTCACGCGGTTTCCAGCTGGGGTCCTGTATTTCTAACGGTTGCTACAGTGAGTGGTGGCTATGAGCTAGAACTCCTCGCTTGCAGCATCCATGAAACGCTCTGCTTCTCGAGGGTGGTACGACCTTCAGCGTTCTTTTTATTTTTTTTTAATTTTTTAATTGAATTTATTTGGGTGATATTGGGTAATAAAACTATATAGGTTTCAAGTGTACGCTACTCTCCAAAGACAGGTGTTTAAAGCCTGCATGGATCCATTGTCTGGGAGCCCTCACTTTCCTAAGACCCTCCAAGCTGCGTTTCCTGCCTTTTGGCCCCCGCCACCAACCAAGCCCACACCTGGAACAGAGCAAGTCCCCCTCCTGGTGAGAGTGGTCTCTGGAGACAAGCCCCAGAAAACACACCTGCTAATCCCAGTCTACACAGCCCAGAATACTCAAACCAAACCTAGCCATGCCCCGCCCCTGACCAAAAGAGAGAGGACATCTTCCCCCATTGTCTCAACCTTTTTGTTTGCCATGGCTCCGTGGGTCCTGCACTCACAAATTTGTTTTCATCTGGTCTCTCTGGCTGCTGATCCAGCTTTCTCTCCAAGGTTCTGGCTGGGATCATGATACTAGTCTTGCCTCTGGCTACCAATGCAGTTCCTTCCGCCTTGGCAAACTGTGCCAGGGCTGCCGGCTGGACTTGACCCTGGTCCTCAGACTCCTTAAAATCCTCCATGCTTAGAGAACTTAGACAATAACTCACTTATCTCGAATTTTATCCTGCCCGCCCAGACAGTAACATTTGTCCACATCCTGTGTTGGCCAGTTCCCTCTGTTTCAGCCCCAGACTGTCCACAGTCTAAGCCCTTTATTTCTTTAAAGAGGTTCCTGCTATAATCTGTGCCTCCATGTTGTCTAACTATACTATTTCCTAACCATGGCCTGGACTTAACCGCTACCTCTCCACCTCTCAACAGCCCTAACATTCATTAATGTGTTTGCAAAAGGCCAATGGATCGTGCCAATGCACACTTGAGAGAATCCACCCTCAACTCACTGTCTTCAGCTAGGCAAGAAATCAATCCTGTGTGAGCCAGTGTCTGTGGATCCAGAGGCTTGCCTTCAGTCCAAAGTCAGGCAGGCAATACCCCCCACCCCCCTTCCCGATGGATTACTTATGGGGAAGGAGTGGAGAGGTGAATGCCTACAAGAATCTTGGAGCAAATGTTAAGTAAATAAAATTGGTACTAAAGACCCACTTCACAGATTAAGAGAGCAGTAAGGACATAAATTAGATCCGATTTTGGCTAGTCATTAACACCAGGAGAGGCTACGCCCGGGATCATTGGAGAAGCAGGTGCTAGGATACAAGGGAAGAGTTAGAAGTCTATCTGGGCTTGTCTCCTGTGGGATGCTAAACCAATTGTGTTCGCCTATGAGATGAGCTCTGACTTAGATTTTTTTAAAAAGGAAAAGATCTGGGGAGGGATGTAAGTATGAGAAGACTCCATAGGAAGGCAGGCATGGAAACAGCCAGCAGGTGATGCAAATTTCTCTTTGAAGAAAGAAGGGCAGTGGGGAGCAGGAAGAAGAAGATGCTGACATGAAATGTGTTGCGAGGTGCTGAGCGATGACCACTATTTGTACACAAATGTAATTTTCAGGGCACCTTGGCCACATGGTCCTGCTGAATTCACAAGCATTGTCTATGAAACAGGCAATAGGTATAACGTTTTTATCACCATTTTAAAGAGGAAAAAAGAGACTAGAGGAGGTTAACTTCCTTAAGGGGTGAAGCCAGCACCCCAGTATCTAGTTTTTAGGCTCTAAAACCCATGCTCTTTCAGCTACATCAGTGGCCGGGTCCCCAACAATATTCTCAAAGTCTCCAAAATTAAAGCGTATTCTACGTGATTCCATTTACATAAAATTCAAGATGAGATAAAATAGATGTGATGATGATAGAAATCAGAACAATGCTTTTCTGCAGGTGGTTGGGATTGACTGGGATTGATCAGGGTGAAGGTTATATGAATGGACACCGTTTTCAAAACCCAACAGAATGATGAGTTGTGCATTGTATGTCTACAGAGATCACCTCAATGCAACAAAACCCAGTACCGAAATTACAGAACCTTTTAAATAAATTCAAATTTGAAACCTTGATTTGAAGTTGATGTCTATCCACCTGTGAGTATTAAGGTTCCGGCTTATTCTGTGTCCAGAAGGACTCACAGGAGGCTCCTGCATCTGTCACCACGGCAGCACCCTAGGACAAAGCCCAGGCTCAAACATAACACCTCACACTGCAGCTCTTATTCATATTTGAATTTTGCCAACAGCACAAATGAAATATATTCAAGCTAGTTCCGGGAAGCAGGCCCAGTGAGGGACCTTACCTGGTACACTTTAAGCTGTTGCGAGTACACAGAAGCACTCTCTGCACTTGGCACATGCGGCTTTGGTTTGGGGTGGGGAAGGGAGAGGGGAGAAAAGCTGCTACTTTTACCACAGTTCAGTCCACATCCTTCCAGTGACCTGGGCCCAAACTCTTAAATTGTGAAAGTGGGTGGAGCTGAGTAGCAGCCACCAGGTACTCCTTCCTGATCTAATCTGGAATTATGATGGTGCCCACCACACTACTGAACACTGGCTGCCTCGCCTACTTACATTCACTGCTTAGCAAGGGATCTTTTCAGAATTTCAGATTCAAACGGGTTAAATTCAAAGCAAAACATGGGAAGCTTTACCTACAAACTGAATAGCATTAATATTTTTTCTTGAATAAAAACAAACGGGATACAGGCTATACTTACTCGCAGAGAAGGATTCCATTTTCTAACCCTGTCCGAAAGTCTTTATCACCAAAGCTCCTGCCGGTTACTTGCTGGAAAAGAAAAAGAGAGCATAGTTTTTCTTTTTTAATTAGGAAGCACAGTGATTATATATATATAGTGATTAAATATATTTGTTTATTTATGAGCTTTGAAGTAGCTGATGACATTCTAAGAATGGGGGAAATCTGTTAGGTCTGAATTTCCTTTCCATGTGTAGTTTTGCTTAGATCAGCTAATCTTAAATTTAGACCATTTCTTTGAAGTTTTTTTCCTATCTATTGCACCTTTAAAAATCTCTGTTCTTCCTGATAAGGATGTTACTTTTGGTTTGGCGATGATAAGTCAAGGCCACAAGCTTCTTGCATACCAAGGATCCAACCCATATACTTTCAAAAAAGCCTGCAGAAAGTACCACCTAAGGATGAAATATCTATTTGTTAAAATGATATGGAGCAGGGGAGGAAGACACAGACCCCTAACCTTGAGAGACTAACATGAAGACAGAAAGATTAAAGCTAATATCCATAATGATATGGTGTAAAAGGGTAACATAAAAGCGGGGAAAGAATGAACTGTGACAGCCCAGGACTGAGAGCCAATCTTGGTGCCGCTGGCTCTCAATGCCCTTTGGCCTAGGCACGAAGGCATTCATCTGTTCATTCAATAAATATTTTTTGATCTGCAACATGCCATGTAAATGTACATACTATAAATTCTAAACCAACCTCAAAAAAAACAAAATAAAAGGTTATAGTCAATAAACCAAGAAAGGAGATCAAAAGAAATAATAAAAAATACTCCAACAATAAAAAAGGCAATAAAAAGGAAAAAGGAATACAGAACAGATGTAATAAATAGAAAGCAAATGGCAATACTGTAGACTTAAATCTAACCATATCAATAAGTGCATTATATATAAATGGCCAAAACATCCTCAATTAAAAGACAGAGATTGTCAGATTGGATTTTAAAAAGTAAGATCCAACTATGTAGTGCTAACTAGAAATGCACTTTAAATATGAAGATAGAAGTAGGTTAAAAATAGAAGAATAGAATAAGAGATATCATGCTAACACTAATCAAAAGAAAGCTGGAGTAGTTACATTAATGTCAGATTAAAAAAAACTTTTAGAACAAAGAATAACTCAGCGACAGAGAAAGTAATTTCATAATGAAAGTAATTTCATAATGACTAAGGATTAAGCTCATCAGGAAGATATAACAATTCTAAACATTTTTGCACCTAATTTTTTTAAAAGCTTTAAAATACATAAGCCAAAACAGATGGTCCTGCAAGAAAAAATAGACAAACTGACAACTAGAGTCAGAGATTGATTATCTCTCTTTAAAAACTGATAGAATAAGTAGACAGAAAATCAATCAGAATAAAGAAGAGTTGAACAACACTATCAACCAACTTGATTTAATTGACATTTCTAGGCTACTCCAACCTACAATAGCAGAATACACAGTTTTTTTTAAGTTCACAATAAACATTTATTGAAATAGATAAATTTCTGAGTTAGAAAACAAATCTCCATAAACTTAAAAGAATTTAATTAGGTTTTTTAAAAGTATGTTATCTGACTGACCACAATGGAATTAAATCAGAAATTGACAACAGAAATATCTCTGGAATAATCCACAAATAATTTTAAAGTAACAAATTCTAAACAATCCACTGATTAAAAAAGGAGTCAAAAGAAATCAGAATGTATTCTGTAGTGAAAGAATATGGCAATATTAAAATGTATGGAAAGATGCTAAAGTAGTATTTGGGGAAAATGTATAACACAAAATATCTATATCAGAAAAAAACATCTCAAATCAATAAATTCTGCATCTACCTTAGACAAAGTAAGCCCAAATTAGACACAAAAAAGGAAAAACAACAACAACTTTATATCAGAGTTGAAATCAATCAAATAGAAAACCAAAAAAAATAGAGAAAAATCAATAATATCAAAAGCTGTTTCTTCATCTGCAACAAAAATAAATTAATAAACTCAAGGAGGAAGAGGAGGAGGAGGAGGAGGAGGAGGAGGAGGAGGAGGAGGAGGAGGAGGAGGAGGAGAAGAAGAAGAAGAAGAAGAAGAAGAAGAAGAAGAAGAAGAAGAAGAAGAAGACGAAGAAGAAGACGACGACGACGACGACGACGACGACGACAGCCGGGACCGTTAGGAATATTTTTGTTTCCTAGCCACACATCTGTCAGCTCTGCTGCTGTTATGTCATTACTATGCGCTTGGAGACTACATCCTGTGTACCTGAGCTAGAGCTCACCTAGCTGGTTTCCAGTAGCTATCGACAGCCATTTCCAGTAGCTAGCGACTGTACTGCATTAGGGAGAAAAAAAATAACAAGAAGGAAAAAAGCTGTTTCTTTGAGAGCAATTAAAATGATACACCTTCAGTCAGGTTGCTAAACCTTTAGATAATAAAATTGATAACCTTTGTTTTTTAGCCAAAAAAAAAAGAAAGGCACATGTTATCAACATCAGGAACGACAGAGATGACATCATTTCATATTCTATAGACATTAAAAGGATAACAAAGAAATAGTAGAAGTACATTTGTGTCAAAAAAAAATTCATCAATTTAGATGAAGGGGATAAATTCCTTGATAAAACAATCAAAGTTCACTCAACAAAGAAATAGGTAACCTTTCCCTCCACTTCACCCCCACCCCCCAACCAAAATGCCAGGCCCAGAAGTCTTGCCTGGTAAATTATACCAAATATTTATTTAAGGAAGAAATAATGCAATTCCACACAAACTACCAGACAACTGAAGAGAAAAGACTACTCACAAATTCATTCTTATTAGGCCAGCATGACCCTGCTTCCAAAACCAGACAGAAACATTACCAGACACACACACACACACACACACACACACACAGGAAATATGTCAACATGTTATCTCTTCATTGTGGGAATTGGATATTATGTTTATTTTCTTCTTTAAAATTTTCCCTATTTTCCTAAAACTTTCTATGATTAATACATATTACATTAATCATTAGGAACATGAAACAAAGTTGTTTGTTTGTTTGTTTGTTTTTTAAAGAGCAGTGTAAGGAAACAAAATGGTCCCAACTCTCCCATGTAAACCAGAGTTCCGGTTCTATTATAAATCATCTTCATTACCACTCCCCCTAGAAAGGTAACTCACAAGCCAATATAAAGTACTGCCTGGAAAAGGAAGGAAGGAAGGAAATTCCTTTGTTAGTTCTTAGTTGAGGAAAGGTGAGAAAATGGATAATAAGTAGTTTTTTGTTGTTGTTGTTGTTGTTGTTGTTGTTGTTTAATCCTCACCCAAGGATATTTTTCTATTTATTTTCAGATAGAGTGGGAGGGAGAGAGAGAAACATCAACGTGAGAGGGACACATCAACTGGTTGCCTCCCACATGTCCCCGACCAGAGCCAGGGACAAACCGCAACCGAGGTATATGCCCTCGGCTGGAATCGAACCTGTGACTCATTGGTTCGCAGGCCGATGCCCTATTGCTGAGCCAAATCAGCCAGGCAATAAGTAGTTCTTTATTGTTTGCAAATATCCAGCCTTTTTCCAAAAATAAAGAAATTAAGAAAGGTGCCCTTTAAAAAGTTAAGATTTTAAACACAGACTTCAAACACCTTAGCATCTTCTTTCCTGAATCTATTAGTTTTATTTATATTCTCAAAAGATCACTAATATTTTCTATAAAACTAACCTCCATTCACCAAGAAGTGATTAGAAGGTTTTGAAATCACCCCCCTCCCACCCCCCAGTCTTTACATTTTTGCTAAAAGTATTATGTTCAGTACAAACGGTGAAAACATCGAGAACCCAAGACAGTGTATCTACATCTGTTATAGACTCTCTGGCTAAGTGAACCCAGGCCCCTCTCCATCTATTGAGCAATGATGATAAACAGGGCCTAGAAACAGAAACTTAAATGAGACATGACCACTGTATGTGGAAAGCTCACAGACCGGTGAAGAAAGCAAATATCCAAATTCTAACCATAAAAGGATGGTAACATAACTTATTAAGATTATAAGAAAATAATGGGGGCCCATTGACCACCTAAAAGGCCCATGTAGTATTTAACATTAACTTGCGTGTGATGTGTAGCCACTAAAAAATTTCAAGTAGAGTTGACTTAATAATCCAATGTCAGCATGCTAATCAAAATCCTCCAAGAAGTACTCTGATTAAATTCAATTTCCTAGACTCCCAATTCTGGAGACAGAAATAGGCACCATGCATTTGGAGAAAGGTTCTCATTTCCACTACTGTTCCCCCTCCTTTTCTTCCTTCCTCCCTTCTCTGTGTCCATCCGTTAGGTCCCAGCATAACCTTCACATTGCTCTCCCCTGATCAAATGCCATCCCTTCTTCCAAGCCCAGGCCATTGAGTATAGAGGCACCTGGATCTTTGTTAGGACAGTCAACAGCTCAATGGACTCCAGAAATTCAACAAGGATCATGCCCCCAAAAAGTCTGATCCTTAGACCCACCAGCAGCAGCATCTTCACCTAAAATTAATGTTAAAAAAGAGACTCCCATTCTTCCCACCCTCTCCAAGACCTACTTATTCAGAATCAGCATTTCTTTAAAGAGCCCCATTTATTCATATGCAGAGTAAATGTTATTAAATTTACTAAACTAAGCATCCTAAACTAAGCCAGCAGTTACAAATCAGAAAGGGAGGACCTTCCACTGGAACTGGGGTTTTGGATGACCTGTCTCAACAACCCCCGTCAGCAACATCTTTATGATGTGTTTACAATATCACACATTGTTTATTTAACTATAAAGACTGCTAATCATTGTTCCCTTCGTGACAGTATAATCCATCGCTATAAAAAAACAAAATAGCTGCCAGAATCAACCACCATCACCCAAGGTCATTAGCAGGGGAAGTGAAAAGTGACCACCCAAACTCTTCACTAACCTTCCTACCTGGATCCTGACTGAGGACTCTCTAAGGGACCTTTCCGACAAGACACTGGCCAAGCCATCGCCTTGGGATCACTCCCCGAGGACACGGAGCAGGA